CATGCGCCATTGAGAGGAATAAAACAGTAAGTTGACTGGCTCAAAAAATCAAATTGCGGAATTGTTTTCTTTCAAATTTCGTATGAATGTAATGTTTATAATCGTCTACTGTATAAAAGGCTGTTTTTGTGGTAGCAAGGTGGCGATTTAAGAGATGGCAGGAAGAATAACCAGCTCGTAACATGGCTGTGTTTCGCGTTAACGTCATCGTCACGGTTGATTGAAAACCATTCCAGACCCTTTCTGACAACGGGTAACAAGTTTTATGGGGAAAACTTTACAAGAGACTACTTAGTAAACCGTTGTTGCCTTTTTCATTAATTAGGTCATTCGAAAACAAGACCCCATTGAACTTCCGTAAACTGTGCCAAGATTGCAAGAAATTCATAATGTCTCTTTATATTGAAAAACGATGTGCATACCTCATATGCATCAAATAATGCAACAAGAGTTGTTGACAAACTCGTCGTTATCAAATTGCACGTGTTTTATGCTTTTTAGCGTTTTCCCTGCGTGACGTCATAAATTTTACGGTTGAGTAATTCTGAATACTGATTTTGGTGCACAGTAACTAAATTTCTCTTTTGAGGTGAATTAAATATGTTTTTCTTTAAATATGTTTTAGTTTTTATATCTAACATTTAAAATTATCTTTCAGAAAGACATAACCAAATTCCCATTTGATTTTGTCAAATAATTCATAAGTTACTGAAGCTCAAATGACGATACCCCCCAAAAGTGAAAATCGAAAACTCTCATTATCTTCAATGTCTCTCCCGTGCATCTGTCAGAACCTTATTTCTCCTTTGCTTGGAATTTCATTAGAGTGTTTATCCTTCAGACTCTGGCTATATTTGGCTTGGGTAACAATGCAAAAACATAAGTCAAAAGGCGCGCGCATGCGCCATTGAGAGGAATAAAACAGTAAGTTGACTGGCTCAAAAAATCAAATTGCGGAATTGTTTTCTTTCAAATTTCGTATGAATGTAATGTTTATAATCGTCTACTGTATAAAAGGCTGTTTTTGTGGTAGCAAGGTGGCGATTTAAGAGATGGCAGGAAGAATAACCAGCTCGTAACATGGCTGTGTTTCGCGTTAACGTCATCGTCACGGTTGATTGAAAACCATTCCAGACCCTTTCTGACAACGGGTAACAAGTTTTATGGGGAAAACTTTACAAGAGACTACTTAGTAAACCGTTGTTGCCTTTTTCATTAATTAGGTCATTCGAAAACAAGACCCCATTGAACTTCCGTAAACTGTGCCAAGATTGCAAGAAATTCATAATGTCTCTTTATATTGAAAAACGATGTGCATACCTCATATGCATCAAATAATGCAACAAGAGTTGTTGACAAACTCGTCGTTATCAAATTGCACGTGTTTTATGCTTTTTAGCGTTTTCCCTGCGTGACGTCATAAATTTTACGGTTGAGTAATTCTGAATACTGATTTTGGTGCACAGTAACTAAATTTCTCTTTTGAGGTGAATTAAATATGTTTTTCTTTAAATATGTTTTAGTTTTTATATCTAACATTTAAAATTATCTTTCAGAAAGACATAACCAAATTCCCATTTGATTTTGTCAAATAATTCATAAGTTACTGAAGCTCAAATGACGATACCCCCCAAAAGTGAAAATCGAAAACTCTCATTATCTTCAATGTCTCTCCCGTGCATCTGTCAGAACCTTATTTCTCCTTTGCTTGGAATTTCATTAGAGTGTTTATCCTCCAGACTCTGGCTATATTTGGCTTGGGTAACAATGCAAAAACATAAGTCAAAAGGCGCGCGCATGCGCCATTGAGAGGAATAAAACAGTAAGTTGACTGGCTCAAAAAATCAAATTGCGGAATTGTTTTCTTTCAAATTTCGTATGAATGTAATGTTTATAATCGTCTACTGTATAAAAGGCTGTTTTTGTGGTAGCAAGGTGGCGATTTAAGAGATGGCAGGAAGAATAACCAGCTCGTAACATGGCTGTGTTTCGCGTTAACGTCATCGTCACGGTTGATTGAAAACCATTCCAGACCCTTTCTGACAACGGGTAACAAGTTTTATGGGGAAAACTTTACAAGAGACTACTTAGTAAACCGTTGTTGCCTTTTTCATTAATTAGGTCATTCGAAAACAAGACCCCATTGAACTTCCGTAAACTGTGCCAAGATTGCAAGAAATTCATAATGTCTCTTTATATTGAAAAACGATGTGCATACCTCATATGCATCAAATAATGCAACAAGAGTTGTTGACAAACTCGTCGTTATCAAATTGCACGTGTTTTATGCTTTTTAGCGTTTTCCCTGCGTGACGTCATAAATTTTACGGTTGAGTAATTCTGAATACTGATTTTGGTGCACAGTAACTAAATTTCTCTTTTGACCAATTTTCGTAATTTTCGGTCATGTGGTCAAAATGTTTTCGACCATTATGCTACCCTGCGTTTCTTTTTCCTTTCAGTATATATATTTGCAAGAAAAGTGGGGGGCTAAGCCTCCCCCCCCCCCCCCCGGTTCCGACGCCTATGAATACCCATGTAACAAGAATCGTAATATCAACATTTTTGAAAAATGATTGTGGTAAGATGACAAGGCCCTAGTCAGCAGGAGTGGGTATGGTTGTTTAATATCAAATAAAAATTTGATGAAAATTGAGATTAAATCTGTCTTCAAAGACAAGGTTCGTCTCTGATATACATGACGATGGTTGTATTTTCTGTATGTACCGAAATGTGAAAAAAATAATGTTCAAAAAGGCGATAAAAGATTACAGTGGGAAAAATATGTAGCAAGGCCTAGAAAGTTTAAATATCATGATAGTAAACAGCACGTGGGTTTTGAATAGTTTCTTTTTTGTGTGCTGGACAAAGACAAATGAGGACACATCCATATAACTGTCAAGTGAACCAATCAGACACCGTTGAATTTTTCAGAAATAGAAGAATTCTTCACCATGAAGAATCAATTCTTCGAGAGAAATGGAAGCATTTGATTGGCTGAATAAGTAGGTTATGTTCTAAAAAACGTAGGTCCCTTGTCACGGTAGGCGCTGGCACGATAAAGAACCCTCACTGCTCAATGGCCCTGAGTGTCGAGTATAGGTCTAAATTTGAAGCCCTTCACCGGCATACGTCGACGTCTCCATATAAGTGAAAAATTCTCAAGAGGGTCGTAAAACAATATACAATCAATCAATCAATCGATTACGGGGGCATAAAAAGTGGATAAATGCTACTCTAGAGATGAATTAGGCAGCTTAATAAGCATGACTGTATAAAATACCACTATATAAAAATTTTTCACCCGAAGAAAACCATTGTCAACCGAGGCGCAGCCGAGGTTGACAATGGTTTTCTTGGGGTGGAATTTTCAATGTTACACTCAACTACATGCAATATTTATTATATCATACTGAATGTTTTATACAAGTACATAAAACAGTGAACCGTGCGCGCATAAATTCTGCGCAGTCGCTATTTTTTGGAATATCACCCGTTGTCAAGCACTGTTGACTGTTGCTACGCTGGAGGGCGTGGTTTTATTATTCAGCGGGTGATAGTGTTTTTTAACAAATGTTTCTCGACCAATCAGATTCAACTAATTTACATGAAAGTATAATATCAAATATGATTTCATTTATTGTTAACATGTATATAAACAGCTTCTTTATTGAACTACATATGAAAACAAAACTATCCTCATTGAGGGACAGGGGGGAGTGAGATGTTAATTATCTGTTTTTGATCACTAATTCGTAATAATGAGAAAAAATGTGAACGGTTTAGAGACAGGACAAACAAGGGGACGCCGGGCAAAAAATGTGATCAGAAATTATAAGAATGTAAATAATTGAACTTAAACGCTAACCCGGAATAGGTTCTTCGAGTCTGGAGGAAGTATTTTTTTCTTATCAAAGTTTTTTTTCTTCAGATTAGTTGATATGTTTTCCCCTTGTTTAACCCTCCGTAATAACTATATTACGTCCCTGTATTTTAATCAATTTCTTTGTTGCTAATCTACGTTTTATTATTGAAAATGTTTGTTGAAAGGCCGGTTGCCCCTTTGATGAAGCATCAAAAGTTTGGTTATTTGGATGAAAAATGTTGGAACTCAATCCCTCCCCCATCCCGGGGGACTTTCGTGTTTGGATACATTTCTCTCCCCCCCCCCCCCCACCCCCCTTACTTTTTTTAAAGGCTTATCGAAGTTTTTTTTCAGATATTTTGATTTTCCCCTGGTTCCTCTCCTTTTTAATAACGACGGGTTTTAAAAATTTATATAACAAATGAGTTAAATTCAGAGACAATTTTCAGCTTAAATACAATTATAGGTATAACAAGGGGACAGTATAACTATGCCACCATAGATTCTATATAGAAAAATCCAAAATCTTATCGATCAGAAGTTTAGGGTATATGGTAGATAATTAAAACAGGAATTTCTCTGATTTTCACAGACTTACAGGAATCTTGTCAGCTTTTTAAAGAAATTCTCTTCAGGTATCTCCATCTCCTTTGATGTCAGAGGTTTTTTTTTTGCAAGAACTTATTAATTTAATTAAATTGATTCCCAAAAGAACAATATTATTACATTTTAATATCACTATACTATTTGTATATTATGATATAGAGTCAAAGGGGTGAATGATAAAAAATATCAACAGATTAAATTTGCTCCAGGTATGATCTTAAATTGTACTTCTTAAAAATTTAATCAGCAACCTGTTCTAGTTTGAATGTACTATTGAACCTATAATATTTTACATAAAATAAAACCTAGATATTTTTCTCTGTTTATGTACACGTGCATTATAATTAAATGTAGATTAAAGGCCAGATTTTTTTTGACAGAATACAGAGATCGATATAAGTCTTGTAAGTCCTGAAGAGTCTTCGATCCATCTCAAGAACACGTCAGATTTAAAATTAGTTGTATCGTAAGCATTTTCAAAAAACACTTGTCGGCGAGCCAAATCAATAAAAACACCCTTGTTCGAATACCTAGTATTCATAATTGAAGTTAAACAGAAAGTAGGAATGAGATATCTACATGTGACAGTATAGTAAAGTCAATCGCATAGGTGACAACAAAATGCCAGGAAAGAGAAAGAAAGGCTTTAAAAGCTCTTTCCGTCAGAGTGAGTACTTCTATTTACATGTGTATATTTAAAATGCGTATACACCCAGACCCGTAGAAAGCGGTGTGTGTAAGGGGGGGGGGGGGGGGGGGTCGAGTATAGTATTTTTGCTATTGTAAATTTTTGTTTATATCTCCCCCCCCCCCCTACACACTTGACAGAAGGTGACAAAGTCCAGGATTTATTAAGTTAATTAGGTTTCTTTTTTGGGGGAAGTTGTCCCATTTCTTTTGAAACGGTTGCTTATACGGCCCTCTGCAGCTATTAAACGTTTGTATATAATTATATATATATCATGTACGTAGTGTCAAAGTACAAGTTTTTTGAAATGCATTGGTGGGGCTTATTTGTTCTCCTCAAATTGAGTTTCAAATAAAATAATTTAAAGTCGAATAAATCTAATCCACATTTTTTGCTTTCAAATTGAATTCTTACAAAGATTTAAAAATACCCCATAATCAATAATTCTGTGTGATGAAGCAATGCCTATTTTTCTCTCTTGACCCAGGCCCCAAAATGACATTGCAGCTGTATGTAAGATGGCTGAAACACGTTTCAGATGTTATTTCTTATCCTTGTAACTCGGAAAGAACCAATCAGTAAAAAAAAAAACCAAGGTACCCCTTTCAATGTTTTCGTTCTGTAATGAGATACTGGTATCTTTTTATTAAGATTCCATAGGTTTCTCTTCCTTTGCTTTTAAAAAGACACTAAATCCTCTTGAACAAATTGGATTCTTTAAGTTTCCTTTCCTCTTGCATGGAATCCCTTTAGCGAAGGTTATTTTGGGAATATTAATGCAAAATTATCAGAGTATCCGTACCCTTTCCATTTCACACGGTCATCTAAACAAAGGCAAACAAACGATGATTTCATCCACATTTTTTTTAATATATCAGCTTTAGTGAAAGAAACACCAGGCACACAATATTATGCAGGTTTAAGTTTCATGATTTTCATAATGCATAAAGAAATGGAATTTTTACTTCTTACTATAAATTGTCACTCCATAAGCAAGAAAAGATTATTCGGATATATATTATATCGCGTATTATCATAGAGCAAAATGAACCCCAAAAACTAAATTGTTGCGTTTTATCAATTTTATTGCACGTATTTTCCTTTAATACTTTATGCTGCATTAAACATTTAAAGACAACACAGTATCTGCAAGCTAAATATTGAAATCTATATAGACAGATACAAAAGAAAATCAATACATATTGAACGGTGCAGTGTATTTTAATAAATATTGACATCGGGCCAAAACTAATGTCAGAATCACAATTAATGTACTGGGATTGTTTGAAATAAATTTAAAAAGTCGATTTTTTAAAATGAATAACATGTACTTTTATGCGTATTAATTAATTCATAAGTAAATTCATGACTAAAAGGAAAGAATTTATTACTAAAATATTCTTTTGATGTAAGAGAGTTATATAAATACACGTATTTTACTTGTACATTTTGGAAAGAAAGTAAAATGTATAGGCCTAAGAAAGGATACAAAAGAATTCTCTCAATTAAATTAACCAGTTAAAGTATATTGATAGTTATACAGCGGAACATTGTAATTTTATTAGTTGCAGATCTGTTGCATGTTGATCTAAAAAAAACCCAGAAAGTTATTTACAGGGCCTCACATTGATAAAAATATATACTTATAGTTATATATGTATTTATTTCACAAAAGTGGATTGTTTGAACTTCCTATACTTATTTGATAATGCGTCGTCGATTTATCTAAATTTTGATCTGAAGGCTACAGCAAATATTTTCTTTTCTTTTCATGTATAAGATTTTCAATAAATAGCTACACATGGATGTAAAAATAGGTCTGTTAAAAATGGGACGCAAAATGGTACCCGATTGTTGGAAGATCTGGTCTCCAGAAAGTAAATTGATGAACAAATAAAGTCAATTAGCTAATTTTCTGAATGGAAATATTTCATAGATAGACCTTTACTTTCAACTTCCCTTATTTATAAAGCAGTATTCCCTTACCACCTGCTTAATGGGCTTATGTCTCTCAGTTGATTCAATACGCAAACGAGGCAATTTACTGACAAACAAGTTGATAAAACAAGAAAATCAACATTCTCGATGAGCAAGCTCTATGGTCGATACAATAATTTTGTTAGCAAATACAATCTTTTATTAAGACAATTGCTGACTGACTTTTTAATATTACTGTTGGGCCAAAAATTTTCACACTGCACTGTCTCTAGGGATATTTTTGTTTTTCTCGATCATGACAAGTCGCACACTTTTGACGATTCGACAGGGTATGCTCATTTTCCCCTCTGTTTTAGAAGTTCGAAATGGAATGGAAGTATAAGATTGAATGATGTGTGTTATCTTTATTTTTCTTGACTCACGATTAGAGTCTTTATTTTAAGAAAAAAAAACTATTTTTTACATACTATGAATAATTATCGTAAATACTGTATATACAAACAGCAAATGTAAGTTGTAGAGAATTATTGTTCATGCAAATCAACTATAACCCAATTTATTAAGTTGAAGATCAAAACGTTATTTTTTTAACCTACTCAGTGATACTTACAAAAGGTTTACAATGATTTCATTATTGAAAATTTTATTCTTTCAATGATGATGTCATTGAGTAGACACCTACCTTATTCAGGCCATTATTTGTCTGATAAAACAGAAACAAGATTCAAAACTACTGAGTATACGAACATTGAATTGGATCATATGGTATACAAGAGTATTCATATATTTTATATTTATACTCTCCGAATTATTTTTTCTGGAAAGAATTTGGTCTCGCTGCGTTTCCTAATAAAACATTTTTCTTATTCTAGATAGTCATGCGGTGCAGTTTGGTTCAAGACGATCAGTAGCCCCAAATCAGTCTCGACGCAGTTCCGTCTCAGGATCAGTATTAGGCGAAGAAGACAATAGTAGCATTTTTGCAGATAGCGACTCGGCCTCTGAGAATGATTTTGAAGAAAACGACTTCACGAGTAGTTCTAGATTTGAAGAAAGCCAGCTGCTTTATGGTAGGGACGACGATGAACATTCTAAGGTTTTACAGCAAGACATTATGCAGTATGGCCTTGAATTAGCAAACGCAGATGTCTTCAAAGAGAAGGAAGGTAAACCATTTTATGACGAAATGTCTTCAGAGGAAGTGTTAGAAAGGAAATTGAAATCTAATCCACATCGGTTTAAACGCTGCAAATTCAACGTTCATAATTCTCACGAATCTGTGTGCAAAATCCTCGATCTGCCCGACGTTGATGGTTTGGAGGAAATTCAGATTTCAGGGCGATCTAAAGCTGGAAGAGTGTTTAATGGCGACATTGTCTTGGTAGAAGTGTACAATTATGTGAAATACAGAGAAGAATTCATAGGCCGATATCAGAGAGACATCAATAGGAACAACAAACTGCACCGAATATTTGGAAAAGTAGTCGGTATTTTCGAGAGGAAGAATTTCAAAGACATAGCTCATCCAGTTTTTGTCTGTGTATTAGACGAAACTTCGAACTTTCTGATGAGACCTGTGTGTAAAACAGTTCCAAAACTCAATATAATCCATGATTACAAAAATTCCAACGTTATTCTTGTTCACAAGTACGACAAAGAATCATCCTCAATTAAATTTCAGAAACAGTTCAAAATTGATCCAAAAAACATAAAGAATTTTACATTCCTTGTCGTGTTTATCAGATGGACTGATTTTCATCCTTATCCCTTGGCTGCGGTCATCAAAGTCATTAGAATTGAAGAAAACAAATCCTCAGCTTTACAAATTCTTCGACTTCAACACCAGGTGCCCAAATACTACCAAAGAGATACTGTTGTCGAGACTGAAATAACCCTTCGTGCATTGGACACTGAAAGGAATTGGAGTGACGAAGGTAGAGAAGATCTGACTGCTTTGAGAGTTTTTACCATTGATCCCACAAATTCCAAAGATCTTGATGATGCACTTAGTATTGAAAAGGTTGGTGAAAATTACCGCATAGGGGTTCACATTGCTGATGTCGGATATGTCATAAAGAAAGATGAAGCTATAGATTTGGAAGCCCAAGAAAGATCTTGTACCTTTTATCCAGGACAAGGTGTTAATCCTTACCACATGTTGCCAGAACCTTTTGCCTCAAACATATGCAGCATACTTCCAGAGGTTCTAAGACCTACAATCACAGTTTTATTCACTGTAAATGAGAAAGGAAAAATGGTAAAAAAATTTGAAATTAAGAAAACTCTTGTAAAGTCATCAAAACAATTTACCTATGATGAGGCACAAAAGATAATTATGAATAAAACAGATCCAGTGTTGGAACTGGAGAAGGATATTTTATTGCTTTATAAAATAGCCAAATTTATCCGATTTGCAAGGATTCAAATTGCCATGTTTTCTTTACCAATTGAAACTAAACCGAATGAAGCACTAGCAACATTGTCCACTTCAAGAGAGGCACACTATCTTGTCGAAGAATTCATGATCCTAGCAAATGTTGCAGTTGCTCAGTATTTAAGAGGGATATTTCCTGAAGTGATACCATTGCGTTGCCAGGAGGCACCGTCAAAAGATTTGATAGAAAAATGGATGGATGAAAATAGTCCAGTTCTAAATATGGTGCTGCGACTGCAAGGTATTCACCCACAAAAAGGTCAAGAGAGCATTGGTCTACATCAAGTGAGCCATGTTCTCAGATATAGATATGTAATGGCAATACAAAAATGGGTATGGGAAAATTTGTATGAAAGTATAAAACACAACGATCTGGACACTGCAGAAAAGCTAATTTGCACAGACGAACTTCATCCAATGCAATGCTTAGCTCTGGAAGATTGGATATCATTTCAAGAAACTGCTTTCTATAAATGTAGTGGGACAACCAAGAATGCGGATGAAATGATCCATTTTTCATTGAAAATGAACTTTTATGTGCATTTCACATCACCTATTCGAAGGTACCCTGATATTGTAATAAATCGACTCGTTCACGCAGCGCTGGATAACAATGAATGTCCCTATTCAGTAGAGGAAGTGTCAAATCTTTGTGAAGGATTCAACAGTAATATTCGCCGAGCAAAAAAGTTTCATAAGCAATGCCAAATGATGTTTTGGGGTTTTCATTTGAAAAAGAATCCGCAAGTAGTGCATGGAATAGTAAGAGAACTAGAGGATAAGTCAGTATCGTTAATAATTCCAGGGTTTAGATCACTGCCAACTTACTGTAAAGAACTCCCTTTGAATTTACTACAAGTGTCCAGTAAGCCAAAAAATATAGAACGTCACGAAAACGAATATTTAGTTCTACAATGGTTAAGGCGACTGTATGACGTAAATGGAAAACCACATGCTAATTGGAAAATGCTTTCATATAGAGAAAGGGAGACTTTCAGTAAAAAAATAAATCCAAATTTGAAAACGAAGTTTATACCACAAGAAACGTGGAAAATATTCCTTTCAGCGGTTATAAAAAATAAACTCCCAGAGCTACGAGAATTTCTTCTGGACGAAGGGATCGAAGACTTAAACTTAAAAAAAGATGGATATAATTTTATTGATGGTTGTCATGAAACAGTGTTTGATCACACGTCTGAGGTGGAAAGTGGAAACGTTATTAAACAAGCCTGTGAATATAGCATGACATTTACACGGGGACAAGTCTTCTGTGTTCAGCTCTCCGCAGAACCCCAAAGGGGAATACTTTCTCCAACATTGCAATTGTTCGATATGACCTCTAGCATAAATTATTGTCTGCAACACACCCGTGACCCAATTAAATTTCTCTCTAATTACTCCTCATTAAAACCGTTACAGACGTACCCATCCCCTGTCAAGTATTTGAGTATTTGGCTTCCGTTAGTAGAAATGGAGGCAGTGACGTCTGCAGTCGATGATGATTCAATTTCAATAAATAACGTTCAAGTCACATTTGAATCTAAGCGTATTGGACATTTTATGATAGATAAAAGATTTGCTGATCAAAGAGATATTGATTTTAGCGTTATGTCAGCAAAATTTGTTTTACAAGGACAAGATGAACCCGATCAAAAAGAATTTAATAACACCAGTTTTCTGTGTATTCGATCAAAGCATATGAATAACAACCCAGTTGGAACAAATTATTCTTTGTCCTACAACCCAAACGATCGAAATTATTGTATACTTCATGCTCAAGTTACGAAGGTTGAAAAGATGGATAAGAAGGAAAAATCTGAGCCCGAGGAAGAAAATGGACGGCGAAAAAATTCAAAAAGCGCATTGAAAATTCGTTTTGAGCTTCATCCTGATAGCTGTGATCCAAGTGACGCCATGCTTTATACCCACAACCCCTCTCCCTGTACGGTAGAAATTATTCCAAAATCAGAGACAGATGCGTAAGTTGTGCTTGATTTGTTTCTGAAGAAGTTTCAGTATTTGTTATCCAAATTAAGTTGTATTAAGGTAGACATTCAAGAATATGAGTTTATGTTTTACATTTAGGTCAAGTGTATTTTCCAGTAATATTGTTCTTGTAGACGAATTCAAGTGGTTCTGGGTTGTATTGGACAATCAACAGATCTGGCCAAAAACATTGCTCTAAACCAAAGAGCACTCTCTTCTAAGTCTCGTCTAAGTTTGTATAATTTCTTCATTTAGTTGTATTTAGTACATAATTTAATGAAATACTCTATAAACTAAATAGGTAACATACATAGAGAATAATACATACCCTTTTCCATATCACAATCTGTATCAGCCCGAGACACCAATATCAGACAGAGGGCCGAAGGCCCGAGGGCTGATGTTGGTCGAGGGCTGATACAGGATTTGATCTGGAAAGGGTATGTATTAATATGTTTATTACATACTTAGCAATAAATAACAGCATACGAGGGTTGTCCCAAAATTTCGTAGACTGAGCTCATATCTTTTAAAGAAATTAATGTATCTTTATAAAATTTTCAGGGTGGATAAAGCTAGTTATTGGTAGATAAATTACGAAGTTTTATCATGTTTACTCGAAAACTTTTCGAGTTATAGGATTTAAAGTGATATCGTTCTCTTACACCCGGAGCAATCTGCAACGTCAAAAAATACAAATGTCAACGGTTCAAATTTTGGAGAATATATTTCAATTACCAGAATCAAATTCTTAAAGTAAACGAAACGGCTATAATTATAAATGTAAAAAATCTTAATTACTATGATATGATCAAACATTTAAAAATGTAAACAAAGTATATGCATGTACTGGTATGAAATAATTATTATTTGAAAACGCTAAATTTTTATGGGCTTTTCGTCTGTTTTCTCTAATGGAGTTGCACAATGGAAGTCTTGCCCATTTCTTAGTCCTGTCTTTTATTTAAGTTACTGTTGTTCACATATACATAGAGAAACCGTTTTAGTCATTTTAAATACTAAGGACGAGAAATAGGTTCCTAGTCTACCAAATATTTATGACTGGTACATTTTTGTAAGAGTTAATTTAGGTTCAAAACACATGAACATACTTCAGTGCGCCGCCTGTGCAAATGCAGCCGCCATTTTTCAAAAAGTCTGATTTCAACCCCATGTTTATAAAACGTTATAAAATTCATATTTATCAAGGCACAAACACCAAAATTTGAAGAAATATAGTTAATAGAACAGTATTGAGAATTTTCACTTCCATTCAAAAATCACAGGGTAGTAATCACTTTTCCGTAGGATTTTAAATATAATGTACCAAATTTTAATTGCAACTTTTGGGTATTGCGCCGCCTACCTACACCAGACAATGAAATGTGTCTTTTAAATTGGAATAATTTGTGTAGTTACTCCATATTTGTCCATAAATTTATTAGATAGTGTTGGTTTAATTTATGTACGAAGTTTCGTTAATGTATGACATAGGGTTCCTACAAAACAACGCTTGTGAAGTTGTCTACGGAATTTTGGGACAACCCTCGTACATGAAGCTGAGAAGAAAATAAGTAAATAATCATACATGGACTTCTTACACACATGTTCATGGTCTATTGTCTCCTACGATTTGGGTTTGTTTCTTCTTCTTTTTCAATGCACTCGATCCTAATTTGAAAATAATCTATTACATGTATTTGTAAATTAAGATTAACCTTATTTTCAAAAAGTTAAAATTAAGAGAATATGAACCCACCAAAAATTGTGTATGATCACAAGTACTGTTTTTCTGGTTTAATTTACTAAGGATGTGATATTGACGTTGATATAGATTTGCGGGGCTGATATAGATTATCAGCCCTTCAAATCCATATCAGCCCTGCAGGGCTGATACGGCTATTGTGACGTCAGCCATATCGCATATGCAAAAAACCTGTATTTATTACTAAGTGTGTAATAAATTTAAGTAATTTGTATAGTTTACTCATTTATTGTTTTTAATCTATAAAGAAATATTTACCTAATCCTTTTAGAATTTTTTTTAATTCTAGATTCATGGTATTCTGATATAGCCTCTAAAATGAATGATGAAGTAAACATTCCGAACATTGTACCAAATAATGAATTCCAGAAAAACGCAATAAAGAAATCTCTGTCTTCTACATTCAGCCTTATTCATGGACCACCTGGTTAGTAACAAAATCAAAATGATAACTAAAATTGAATTATCTCCCGGAAACTTAACTGTGCATTTTAAAGTAAGATTTGTAAATGCCATGTGCAGAAAATTTTTAATTTTCAACTACATACATTTACATTTTGAGATGTAAATGTCTGTCTGCGTGAGTTTTTTGGGTAAAAAGTGCACATCTTTCATTTTTTGAAATTTAATCTAAAAGTATGAATTTCTGTTGATTTATTATTTGAGAACTGTGATTTATTGATTAAAATGTTTTTCGTTTTTAAGGTACAGGAAAAACCCACACAGGTATCAAACTTGTTTATCTATTTGACAAAATAAATTCAAAAATGGAAGAGGAAGGTCATTCGAGAATGCACGTTGTTTTTTGCGGGCCAAACAACAAGTCTGTGGATTTGGTAGCGAGTAAGTTTCTTTTACACCACAGATCAATTTATTATATTTATGAAAGAAAATTTCATATACAATTGAAGAAAATTCAAGCTGTGCAATTGACAGAGTCTAAATTTCCTTTGATTGTAGGGTGGATGCTTCAGAAATATGGCGAGGAATGCCCAGATATTGTTCGACTATATGGTAATTCTCTAGAAAGTAAAGTCTTTCCAACACTTGGTAAATATTTCTCAAAAAGAGCTTCTTCAAAGGAATACAAACCGGATCCAATGCTGGAAAACATATCTGTACATAATCTAATACGGTTGGAGGATAAACCCTTTTCCGAAGAAATACGCCGGTACGATGAACTGTTTCGCAAGTATGAATTGGGAGAATACGAACCCACATTGGCCGACTTGAAGAAGTACAGAAAATGGACAAGTGAAGCAACACAAACTGAAATAAAGCAGCATCACGTTATTTTCTGCACCACCGCAGTTGCTACAAGTCCAAGGTTTATCAAGGCACTTTCTGGAGAGATACGTCAATTAATAATTGACGAGGCAGGGATGTGCACAGAACCAGAAAGTGTCGCCGCTGTCATCGCCACCAAAGCAACACAGGTGGTTCTCATAGGCGACCACAAACAACTCAGGCCTGTGTTAAAGTCTTCTCATGCAGCAGAACTGGGTCTTGAAAAATCTTTATTCGAAAGATATTCAGAGCGAGCAACTATGCTTCGTATTCAATACCGCATGGTTTGTAATTACATTTTTATTGTTTTTAATTGTACATATACAAGTACTAATTTGTATTTGGAACTCAACTTCATTGTCTGAGATTGTTTTTATAGTCTAGCTATCATATTTACAGCATCCAGGGATATGCGAGTTTCCTTCAACTGAATTTTACGACGGAAGACTTCTGACGGAGTCTTCTCCAAAGTGGGACATTCCAAACCCTTTAAAGATATGGGTAAATAGAGATAAAATACCAATTGTGTTTTGTCATATAGAAGGAGAGGAGGAATTTCTTACGGTATCCACTGAGGAGGGAAATGAGCAGTCCTGTAGCAATAAACAAGAGGTAGACCAAGTGGTAAGTAAAACCCGAGGAATTAAAGAATTTATTGAAAAGATGATGCATTATTTAACCGATTTTGAAATAAGCAAGATTTAAATTGGCAGAAATAAGATTTTCTTTCAAATTGCGAATCTGGTAATTACTTCTTCTGAATAAGAACAAAAATATCTAAATTTAACGTGTATATGTTATGTAAGTTTATAAAATATTAATGTTTGTTAAAATTATTATGCAGCATTATTTTAATTAAATTTTGCTGAATGAATGTCGAATTGAAAAAAAAATGACAATGACTTCATAGGGAATGTTTTGCAGGTCAAAATTTTAAAACACCTAATTGAGAAGGAGAACCTTGACCTAACTGACAAAGAGAATCTGAATATAATGTCCCAATACAATGCTCAGTGTCATCAGATAAGGTTAGCTGTGTCCAGCATAGCAGAGGGGATAAATGTCAACACAGTGGTTGCTAGCCAGGGTAAGGAATTATAGCTAAGGATGAAAAGTTGATTTCAATTATAACTAAGAAGAAAAAAAAAAGATTATAGATAGTACAAGTATATATTTTTGAACCATTATGATGAAATCATACAAATTATCTCCAATAAAAAATACTCTATCTCCTGAACTTTCTGTAGCTTGTAAATAGAAACTTCTAAATTTCAAATAAACACAATGAATATCCGTTTTCTGCAAAACCACAATAGTTTTCGCTAAATTCAAATTATGGTATGATTCTCGGAAGTACAATTGCAACGTACCAAATCTGTGGCATAAATCACACACACTTGTTTCTGTAATAATTTTTAAACCCATGTTTTAACCCATTATAATACTGAATATATAACACTTATCGATATACTGTGGGTTAACAATTTCTTACAGAAACAAGTGCCCGTGGCATAAATGCATGGATATATTGGGTCTTTTTTGCAGGTGGAGAATGGAATTACGTCATTTTCAGTACAGTACGGTCTCTACCACGTTATCGGATAGAAGGCAATCCTACTTTGGGTTGGCGTAAGAAGAGTCTGGGCTTCATATCTGATGAGCATCAAATCAATGTTGCTCTCACCAGAGCAAGACGTGGTCTTATTATTATAGGTTAGCATTCACCATTAATGAAACACAAAGAATTTAGGATTTTATAATTGTATAGATTCGAGAACTGGTAACTTAAAAAGAAATATACAGGTGTTAAAGTCCATAGTTTAGGGGACAAAAATTGGACGATCTTCAATGAAACTGAAATATTTTTAAAAAAAAACCTATTTTAAAACTATTTTTCATCTGTTTGTTAATGTCTTTTATCTTCTTTGAAGAGAATTTTCAAAAAATTAAAAATGAAATTCCAGATAAGCAATTTCCCTCCAATAAGGAAAATATGAATAATTTTAATGTTTATGAGAGATAAGGACTGTATTTAGTATACGTATTTTTATTCTCACAGGAAACAAACATTTACTATCTTGTGACCCTGTGTGGAAAAATCTGGTCGATCACTATGCCAGATTGGGTTGTGTTGTTGATGAAGGCGAAGAGTTTCCAAGACGTGTTTGAATTCAAAACTGGGCAGTGGTAGATATATACCAAGGTAGACTATACAAGAAACGTAATGAAAAAGAAATCTGCTATTACAGCATGAATTAACGTTTGAATGACGAAGAACCATGCTGTGAAATTTTCAGCACACTCCACAGACATAAATCATCTATGTGCAAAGCATTTTATCAGTGCTCAAATCCCATAACGAAACATACAACTTTTTATAAAAAGTTGAAATGCACTCCATAACAGGACAACTGGTGGATTGCATACTAAATACCTTGATCTTTTTAATAAAAAATATGTATAGTCAAAGTTGATAGTAGAAAAGAACCACGAAGATGCAATTTTGTGTTTGGCAGATAAACAAAATGATTTAATAGAAATGTCTTTATTTGTCAGGAATTGGTATATGTGTTATATACATGACTAAAATTGAATAATATACAATGTCCAACCTCATGCTTATTCCATCCAGGTCCTGGGCACTGGATTTTCTAGGTCTTTCTATCTAATGTAATTTTTGTTTTGCCAATACATTTGTATATATGTATGAATTGCATAGTCAACTGACAATCATCACATCAATTTGATTTTCTCTGTATCTATAATTATGTTGAAGTTTGCTAATAAACATTGCAATACATGCCTTCGTTCTTGGTTCTTGATATTGGAGAGATTCCTCAGTCTTCAACAAAATCATTCATCAAAACCTTTTATAGATTATTATGAAGAAAAGGAGGAACATTTACATAGAAACCATGATACAGGATAATAGTTTTGACGCAACTGAAGATCGTGATCTCCAGTTGTTCATTTATACTTTTCACTTGTGTACCTTGGAAGAATTTTGATTGGCTGTTAATACCTCCTTCGAGGTATGTTTTGTATTTTATTAGTTTGTTGGTTTTTTTAAAAAATTTTCTTTAACCTTCTCCATGCATTTTATTTCCATGGTTCAACAAACGTGAAAGTCATCGATACGTTTACTTCACAAAAAGACATAAATCCATATTAATAATTTAAAACTAATTTGAAAATATGTTCCGTTACAAAAAATATATAATTTTTCAAAGTGGTTCATGACCAGTTATAGCCATGTCTTTTGCTAACTTTAAAGGTGTATAACGTACAATTACCAGAAAGAAAAAAATCTTATTTATACATGTTTTTAATTATCATGGTCTTACAGAGTATTGCATGCATTCTGGGTTTTTCTCATACTCCTGTCATCAATTACAGATTTGGGAGGATGCAAATAATTTTTGGTCTGTAACTCCGCTAAAAAAAAAAATAAAAATAAATAAATAAATAAAAAACTAACTTCCCCCATAATTTTTGATTGGTAGGAGCCAGAACTTTCACATTCTTGTGTAATAGCTTTCTTTTGATACCAACAAAATTGTCCTACTGAGTTTGGAGTTAAATCTTTTTTTGGCAAAATTTTACCAAAACGTAAACCTTTCCCAAAGCTTTTGAATGGATGATCCTAAGACTTTCATATATGTACTAGTATTCCTTGTGACCTTCCCTTGGATACCAACATTATTAATCCAATTGCATCTTGACCATGGTGTTTGATCTTCTCTGCAAAACTCTAACATTGGCTATGAGTTTTGTTTGATGCTATGGCTTCAATATCTTACTGGTGATTTTCATGTGTCAAGACAATCCCTTGGGTGCAAACTTTTGTTACCCTGTGATTTTGGATTTGGGCCTACTCTTATACATGAAGTGAAGCTAGAAGAAGACATACTTTTAAAAAGTATACTTGGCCTTTAATGCTTAAAGTTTGGGCTTCCATATTTCAAATGCGTGACAAGGCTTTTCTTGGATACCAACATTTTTTCGCTCTTGGCCATAGTTAGCATATGGAAGAGGATCAGTTTCATTGTTTCTTATTGATGTTTTGAAAGGTTTGCAATCAGAATATAGCTGTTTTGCTATAATTTTTTTTAAAATGGGTTCATAGTTAGACTAATCGTCATGACTTTTTACAATCATCATATAACAACGTTTATACGAAGAATAAGAAGATAAGACATATACAACTCAAGTACATGAAAAAAAAAATAAAAGTAATAGTGGTTCTCAATTTTATTTAAACAATAAAAACTTACAAAATTAATAAAATAACAAAAAATATTTATGTCAAGTTGTTTTGTTTCACAAAACAATGAAAAAGAAAGTTAAGTACATAGATGTAAGCATACAAAATACTGCGAAATAAAAGAGGTAATTAAATGATTGTCAAAAAGTAAAATAAGCACAATGTAGATATTCCTTTACATTTTTTAATATAATGTTTAATCTTAAAGATTAAAAAATCAGTTAAACCATATCTCAGGAAAGGTGTAATAATTATAATTTCATGAAGATGACCGCGCTTTAATGAATTACAAAGTGTGAAAAACTTATAAACACACACTTTCATGTTTAATATGAGAGACTTTTATAATCTTATCAAAACATCAGGCTATCCAGTACTCTTTAGAAAAATGCGGCGAGCTTTAAGGACAAAATCAAATGTTAGGTGAAATTTGAGGGTAAAGTCAGAAAATGTTAACATTTCTTCTTTATTCCAAACTCAGGAATCTTAGCAGAAGTAAATGATAGAATACATTTTTGGAATTTTAGAGCAGTGGACAACCTGCAACATAATAAACATCAAACATTTTCATTATTCAATGCATATTTGACTTATATAACACTTGAATAACAAAATATCACAAAAAGAGCAACAACAATGGTTTTTATAAAGAAAAATCAGCATCAAGAAAACTTCAGTATCACAGTTAAACTGAAAGCTCGCAAATGAAAATAGTAAAACAAACCAATAACATATTATAAATCTGGCGTTTTCTTTATCATATTGCACTAGTAGTAATTTCATTCATTTTCTTCATCTACCATACTAAGCTGGCGATCAGTTCCGCGGTAGAAATCTTCTTCTGACTCCAGACTTTCTCGGTGTGACCTCCGCCGCCGTCTCTTCGTTATCAGGGGAGGTGGAGGGAAGTGGTCTACATCCGTTACACAGCCAAAACGGGCGTAATGTTTTATCAGATTCCTCCATACACGATCACATGACAAAAGATGTTTGTTCCCTATTTTTAAAAGTTAGAATTACTTATACATGTAAGGCAATGAAAGCAAAGACTCAGTACTTAAAATGTAATTATCGCTTTACAAGTGATACTGCCGAAACTGCAACACATTAAACTAAGTTTTATTTGTCCATGAAAAGACAATGAAAAATATAAATATAAATACTTTGCATATGATTACGCACTGGTACAATTTTCCTTTTTACTTTTCGCTATTTTGTTACCCCCAAAATACTAAATCTTTTCAAAAGGAAATTCTGTTTCAAAGCGATATTTTAAAAATAAAATCACTTTAAATTAGGCCCTTGAACTTTCAGAATTTTTTTTAATGGATAAAATTTACATGACGTCATTACCAATGATAATGAGCCCTCGTCTTGCTCTGGTCAAAGCGACATTGATCTGATGTTCATCCGTTATAAAGCCCAGATTCTGCTTACACCACCCCAGGGTTGGGTATTGCTCAATTCGGTAATCTGGTAGAGACCGAGCCGTGCTGAAAATGACGTAGTCCCATTCCCCACCTTCAAAATAGAAAAAAAATATCAATCTGAACCGTAGATCTCCCTCTGCCTAGCGGCCCTAAGCGCCGATAATAGGGTAAACATTTTCAGTTCTCTATCGGCAACTAATCAGAGAAGAATTCTTAAGAGGACAAAAAGCAAACAACCAACCAATCATTTTAAACTACATTTGAAAGACTCTATTCGAAGGTGACAGACTCAATTTTAGTCGATTTTTTTTTTAAATAGGAGGGTGCATGCATTAAAATTCAGTTAAAAATTAAAATTTTCAGCCAAAAAGGCACAGTTCACTATATGCATATCAAACAAAATAATCTTTTGAAAAAGAAAGACTTAAATATATATCTAACATACCCTGACTAGCAACAACAGTGTTGACGTTGATATTAATGTACTTCTTTTCCAGAAGAGCTTTCCTTATTCTTGTACATTGTGCGTTGTACTGTGACATGATGTTGATGACCTGTTTATTACTTGGATTGATCTTCTCGTACTTCACCAGGTATTCAAACACTTTAATCTACAATATTAAAACTAAAATTATTAAATACATTCCCAAGAAGGATAATGCTCATTCAAATAATGAAGCTTTTATTAATCAAATATACTTAAGGGTACTTAACACAAACAAAACATTGAAACATGGATTGACATATATTTTTGATGGATTTTGATTTCAAATGACATAAATAATAAATCCCTGTAATATAAAGAAATTGTAGGTTTTTCTTGGTGCTAAAATATGAGACTTTGTTTTACTTATGACAAAATCTTACAAAATTTTCCACTAAACTAGTACTTGGTCAACATTATTTTAGATGTAAATCTATGAGAAATATTGATTTCTGAAAAAAATTTGTGTTAGTTACCCTTAAAAGATTTTTTTGGCTATTGGTATTCTTTAAAAAAAACAATAATTTACTAGTACTTTAAAACTACTGCAAAATGTTCTTGAAAGATCTTTATAAAAGCTTGATTTTTATTCATGTACAGCACATGATCTAAAGGTGACCCTATAAATTTGTAGTACATTACATAAGCGAACTTAAAATGTACACGGTATATATTACTAAATTTGTAGTACTCAAGGTTTCCGTCTTTACATTAATAAAAAGTAAATTTTCAGAAACCTGCAACTGCATTATTGATAGCATGAAATGAAAATAGGGATGTTTTTCCTGCATACCACGTGATCTACTTCTTGTTTGTTGCTACAGGACTGTTCATTTCCCTCTTCAGTAGAAACAGTGAGATAGTCTTCTTCTCCCTCCACGTGGCAGAATATGATTGGTTTATTCTTGTTTATCCAAATATTTAATGGAGTCTTAGATTTCCACTTTGAAGACTTTTTGGTAATCAACTTTTTATCGTAAAAGTGAGTTGAGGGAAACTCACATATTGCTGGATGCTGGAATTAAACAATTATTTTAAAAATCATGATCACCCTTTCTATTTTGAAAATGAACAAAAAAAAATGAAGGTTTGCTTCAAAATGTATTGCTTGTTTATTATTTACCATTCTGTACTGGTATCTCAGCATTGTTGCCAAATTTGCAAAACGTTCAAAAAGTGAAACATCTAATCCTAGCTCAGCTGCATGAGTGGAACAAATCACAGGACTAAGCTGTTTGTGATCTCCGATTAACACAACTTGTTTTGCCTTTGTAGCAATGATGGCCGCAACACTCTCAGGCTCCGTACACATTCCTGCCTCATCAATAATCAACTGGAAAACTTTCCCCCTCGTACCCTTGATGAACCGTGGACTGGTTGTGACGGCAGTGGTACAGAAGATGACGTCATGTTTCGTCAATTCTTCTTGTGCTGCTTCACTAGTTATATGCTTGTATCGCCTAATGTCTTTAATAGTGGGTTTATAGCTTTTATCTCTCCTAAAAAGTTCGAATTTGTCATCGAAGTCTTTTATTTCGGTGGCATAAAGACTTCCTTCTTGACGAATGAGATGATGGACCGATACTTCTTTTAGCTGAGGATCTGGTCGATTTTCTTTCGCTGAGGCAGACGTTGTATAGTGCTTTCCTGGCATAGGGTAATCTTTGTATTCGAGAGAGTTGCCATACAAACGTATCATATCGGGCGCTAAATCGTCAAATTTCTTCAATATCCACCCTGAATTAGCAAACAGAATTAAATTTATTTTTTCATTTAGTGACCATAGATTCAGCATATTTAATTTAAATCAGTTGTGTCTAGTTTTTACCATTTAATTCTTTTTTTAACCCTAAATATTAGAACAGGTCGAGACCACTAGATTTTCTGACGTCAGAATAAATTTGCATGTAAATTAGCTAATATGTTTACTTTACCTACTGCTGAATGAAATGCATTGTGGGCTACTACAAGTACCTAGCTGTGTTGAAAATTAAAGGCAACTTGAATTGTCCCGTGGAAACTTATTTTCAATTCTTTTTTGAAATTTTTGAAAGAAATATTTAAAATGATGTATAATCTTTCATTTTTATGCTCACATTTACAAAATTTGCTTTATGAAGCCTTATATCAACTTATAATACATCAGTCTAGTATACCATTGTACAAAGAGACGTATAAGTGCTATCGTGTCGATAAAACATTGAGTTTTTTTCACGTGATATACGTGTACATAGCTTTCGCAGGTAGTACAATGAAGCGCGTTGAAGTAGTAAAATTTTCCATTTGGACGAAACGTTCTGAGTCATGTTTTGAACGTCAGTTATAACATAACGACACGCCCATTTCTTTAGAAACGAGAGAGGAATATTCGTCGTAATGTTTTAGGACACTACACTTTCCGCGAAAAGCAACATGAGTTACATGAAATGAAGATTTTTAATTAAGAAAGAGCTATGTATAGAGTTCCCGCTTATATAAAACACGCATTGTAACGATTTTGTACATAAATATGATTTTATCATGTGTATTGAGTTAGCATAGCACATGTATCAGTCGAACACGTGCTTACTCGGTGCTTATGTAGACCGTTAATTTCATTGGCTATTATATTTATAAAATTCCTGTTCTACGGGTATTCGATTGAATCATTTGACCGATTTTTCCTTTCTAAAGAAATGGGCGTGTCTAAAGATAGCTCAAAACGTTCCATCCAAACAGAAAATTTTACCACTTCAATGCGCTTCATTGTATGTAGGTCCTTATTTTTAGACAGCAGGAGAAAGTGTGCAATTATTATTATTTAACCCCTCAATGTTATCAGAAAGTGTTTTATGTATATGCAAAAGTCAAAGGGTTTGTTCGATATTCGAAGCAACTGTTAATCATCTAAAACAACTCCAATATTAAATGTGAGCATGGAGCAGTGTCCTCAGAATTTAATCTTTCAATTCCGGTCTAATGAAGTTACAATGAAGCGCACTGAAGTGGTAAAATTTTCCGTTTGACTGGAACGTTTTGAACTATCTTTAGAACAATGATTGTATACAATGACACGCCCATTTCTTTAGAAAGGAAAAAATCGGTCAAATGGTTCTAATACCCGCAGAACAGGTATTACTTAAATATAATGGCCAATGAAATTGACGGTCTACATAAACACCGAGTAAGCACGTGTTCGACCGATACATGTGTTATGGTAACTCCAATAAACATGATAAAACAAATAATTATTGACAAATTCGTTGAAATGCGTGATTAACAGAAGCGTGAACTCTCTAACTCTCTCTCTCATAACTTTAAAAATCTTTAAAAATTTTGTAACTCATGTCCTTAAACATTACAACGAATATTTCTTTTTCGTTTCTAAAGTTCTAAAGAAATGGGCGTGTCATTATGTTATAATTGACGTTCAAAACATGACTCAGAACGTTTCATCCAAATGGAAAATTTTACCACTTCAATGCGGTTCATTGTATCTCTTTTTTCCGGTGACGAGAAATTTTGTGCAGTAAACCTTGTAGCCATTGAATTAAACACGTGGTAGACTGTTATGCTTTGGGAATCTTTCACTTGATTGGAGAACGGGCGTGACGAAGACATCGTCACGTGTTGAAAATTGCCTTCCATATAAGGTAGTGGTCTTGACCTGTTAGAAGGAAAGAAAGGTTTTTTTTTAATTAAAAAAGAAAGAAACGATGAAATAAAATTTACTTGCAACAAGGTCCACCGATTTATTATTGGGTCCACAGAAGACAACTTGTTGATGCTTTTGTCCATCTGCTCTGAGCATATCGTTTATCATATCGAACAGATACACTAACTTTATTCCCGTGTAGGTCTTCCCTGTGCCTGGATTAAACAAAATAAGTAGAATATGTAAATTGGAGACAAGGTGATTCCCTATCACAAAATAATGCAGTTTTACTAACCAGGAGGTCCATGGATAAGGCTAAAGCTCTTGGTTAAAGAATTCCTGATGGCCTGCGTTTGATAAACATTACTTGGTTCAATGCTTGGCAAATCTATTTCTATATGTACATTTTTGGCTTGTTCAAAATATGTACTATCTGCAAAATAAAAAAAAATTAATACATATTTTTTTAAAAAGCGTCTTGTACATTTATTTTCGACTTTGATGTAATTATTTTTAAATTCGGTTTTCCTACTTCTAAAACAGTTGTTAAAAATACAAATTTATGTATAAGTTCAGTATTACCTAATTTTGGCGGTGACCTCTGTAAAGCTATTGCTTGTGCTAAAGTGCTGGATTTCCCAAGGCATTTTAAAACAGCCTCTATCCGACTAAAAAGGTAAACGAGACAAATTTCAACACAAAGGAAAAACAATTATCATTATTCTGTAGAATGATAAAATTATGTTATCATCCTGTTTTATTTCTATAATTTTGTCGTTTCTCCGTTAATTTTTCATATAATAAGACTCAAGTTTGGGGTGAGAGGGCCATCATAGTAAATCAAAAAAGTACAATGCAATATATCCCCTAAAACCTCTCTAGAATTGCAGAGCCATATATATGTAAGGCATATTGATATTCAAGAAAACAATTTAGAGAATATTTATATTTGATCAAATCAAGGACCACTGCATGGTTTTAAGCTATAGCAAGAGTCAATATTATATTGGTAAATATTCAGAAAATAAATTCAATCAAAATATTGTCATACTTGCATTATGGACGATTAAATTTTAATTTGGGAATTTAGAGGAGGCATCGTTTAAATCTTATCAAGAACAGCAGAGTCAAAATAACTCGGATCAACGATGTAACCAATGAGTCTTTCTTTAAATAATATAATAATAACTGAGGTAATTACGTTTCTGTTTCAGATTTCTGTACCAGCTCTACACAGCTTGGAAATCCATTTTCTGTAAGCATCATTTCATTTGATGCATCATTGCTTTCCTTATGAAGCTTAAAGTGAATCTTATACTTGTCCACGACTGGTCGCTTCTTTCCATCGCTATCTGCCGTCTCTATCTCCAAGGAATCTTTCTGCTGAGGTTTAGATTTCATGATTTTTTCTATCATGTTAATCTGTCCATGAAGAACCCACTGAAAACGGTAATTTGGGTCCACGGATGAAGTTTTCCTTTCTTCGTTGGTCTTATTCGTTAAATGTTCAGATCTTATGCATAAGAAATCAGTATTCGTAATATCCTCGTTTCTGTTCTCATTTTTACCCACAAGAATAAATTCTGGCGACATTGCACTGAAATCAATGTCTCTCTGTTCACAAAAATAATGATCAAGGACAAAGTATCCTCTTCGACAGGGCTCCATGAAGACATCCACTCCATTGATGATTGGAGAATCGTCATGCGCTGCATTTGTTACAGCCTCCATTTCAATAATTGGTAACCATATTTTGAGGTAGTCAACTACTGATTGATATTTTGTTTTAGTTTTGTGTATCGAATATTTGGATAGGAACTTAATTGGGTCGCGGCTGTGTTGCAAGCAATGTTTAATGTTTTTGGTCATATCAAGCAATTGCAAGGATGGTACAAGAACCCCTTTTTGTGGTTCTGCAGTAATTTGCACGCAAACTACTTGTCCTCGAGACAAGGACATTGAAAATCTGCACGCCTGTCGAATCACTTCTCCATCTTCAACTTCGGATGAGTGATCAATTATTGTATCTTTACAGGCAGGTACATAATTATGGAGATCTTCATCCATTTCCCCTTTACTTCCCGGTCTAGATGTTTTCCCTTGTGGACCTGTGATACTATATTCCAGATTTTGGAATTCTCCACGAACCACCTGAAGTAATATTTCTTTCCATCTCTCTTGAAGAACAAACTTTGTTCTAGCATGAGGATTTATTCGCTTGCAAACTTCTTTTCTAGCCTCCTCTGACAACCAGTGTAGTCTCTGGGCTTTACGCTCGTCTCTGTTTGGTTTGCCTGACACATCATAAATGCGTAGTAGCCAGTTAAGCGTCATGATAAGATCTCCTGTTGTTGTATCTTTATCAAATTTTGGCCTCTCGAATACGTGTAAAAGGTTTAACTCAATTTCCTTGCATATCTGAGGAAGACTTCTGAATCCAGGTAAAACAATTGAAACAGACCTGTCAGATACCTCCTGAACAAAACCGTGCAGGATTTGTGGACACTGCTTTAATCTAAATCCCCAAGTCAGCAACCTGCATTGCTTTTGAAAATCCTTTGCTCTTCGAATGACATCGTTTAAACTTTGGCACAGAATATCAACCTCTGATTCTAAATATGGACATTTTTTATTATCGATTGCTGCATGAAGTAGGCGATGGATAATAATGTCAGGGTATCTCCTTATTGGTGATGTAAAATGTACATACATCATTCGTTGCAAAGAAAAATGCATCCCTTCTCTTTGGATCATTCAGGGTCCCACTGCATTTGTATGAAGCACTCTCCTGGAAAGAAATCCATTCTTCTAATGCCAAACACTGGCTAGGATGTAGTTCATCAGTACATAAATATTGTATTGCTGATTGAATGTCTTTACCCCTAACTGCATCAATTATATTTTCCCATACCCACTTCTGAACAGGCATAATCCTTGTATACCGAAAAGGTCCAAGAGAATTAAGGTCAATCTTATCACCTCCAGGAACTGCATTTGGAATAATATTCTGAAGGCGAAATACCATGTGCAAAAATGGATAGTTTTGATCTTTCCATTTGTTCAGAATTTCTACAGATGGGGCAGCTTGACAACGGAGAGGAATAACTTTTGGAAATCGGCTTCTTAGATATCCAGCAACGTATGTATTTGATAAAACCATGAACTCCTCAACAAGATAATGGGCCTCCCTTGAATTCAAAACTGATTCCTCGTTGTCATTCAGTTTCGTTTCTACGGGGAACGCGTGAAATCCTGCACCAGGTCTTTTTGCACGTATTGTTTTAGCTATTTCAAAAAGCTGAAGAATGTCACTCTCTAAGGCACTTTCACTTACTCCCCTGTCTATAATTTTTTGAACTTCTTCGTAATTAAATTTTTTACAGGATTTAATTTTTGTTTTCTTAACGCATTGCTTCTCGATATGACCCGTTTTGGTCATTATAAACATTACAGACAACACTGGCCGCATAACCCCTGGACGTAAACTACAAATGTCCCGTGATAAAGGTTCCGGGAGCATGTGGTAAGGATTCATTCCTTGGCCGGGATAGAATGTACAAGCTCTTTCTTGAGCTTCCAAATCAATTTGATCATCTTTTTTCACGACCAAGCTTACATCAGCAATATGAACTCCTATTTCAAAACTATCCCCGACTTTTTCTATGCTGAGAGCATCATCAATATCCTGCGATCCTTCAGGGTCAATAGTAAAGACCCTGAGATGAGATAAATCTTCACGTTCCTCCTCATTCATTATTCTTCTGGGTTCTTGTATATCATCAATCAGTTTCTTTGTATATTCAACGGTTTCTTTTTGATAATACTCTGGCACTTGATTTTGAAGTCGAAGAATTTTCATTGCAGATTGGTAACTTTCTTCAATTTCGATAACGTCTATCACAGCGCCCATTGGGTACAAGCTAGACCAGGACAAATACACTACCAGGAAGACAAAAGACGACTTTCTCCCAGGGTCGATTCGAAATTCGTAGTCAGGTTCAATATTTGAGGACCTTGTGTCATACTTATACACCTGAATTATGTATTTCTTCTGCTTGTCATGGTCAATATGAATTTTTGGAACTGTTCTGCAGACAGGTTTCATTAAATAATATGCTGTATCATCTACAGTACATACAAAAACTGGATGATCAATATCTCTGGCTTTTCTCCTCTCAAAAATACCGATAATTTTGCCGTAGATTCTCTGTGACCTGTTGTCCTTATTAATGTCTCGCTGCAGTCTTTGAATGACCGTTTTTGTAAATTTTTCGTAGTTAAAAATCTCTACTAGCACAATATCTCCATCAAACACCTTTCCCGCCTTTGATCTTCCTGAAATTTCAATTTCTTTTAATTCATCTCTAACGTCAAGGTTTGTACACTGAGCTACATGTGCTCCCTGAATAGAAACTTTACAACGTTTGTAACGCTGTGTATTTGACCGTAGCATCTTTTCTAATTGATCAGTTGGCAAAAATTCATCGTATAATTTTGGCTTCTTTTTACCTTTGTGACTCGATTCTTCGCTTTCAGGTAGGTCTAAGCCATACTTCATCATATCCTGTTGTAAGATGTCCTCTTCCTCATTTTCGTTCTTTTCATAATATGCACAACTGTCCTCAAATTTTGTCTTGTTACTGTCTTCCTTTGGAATCGTAAAAGATCTTGGCTGAAAAGATTCACTCTCTTCTTCCTCAACGTAATAGTCTTCATCTTCAGCAGACTCTGAATCTCCACTGCACGATTCCAGTTCTTCCGTATCGGACGATGTTTTATCACTGTAAGAGTATCCAGTATCCAGCTGGACTTGACTGTTTGAAAATGAGTTTGAATGGACTGGATGAAAAAGTGATGAGAATGAACGTCTCGAAGGCAACTCATCGTTAGAAATGTCCTGCAAACTCTGGACTCTGTGTATATTTTGCACATCACATCCCTCCTGAGTCTCCTCATTTTCCGTCGTGAATTCTGAAAGGAAAACATGCATAACACAAGTTGAGAAAGTTTTTTTTCACCATTTCAATGGATATTAAACAATTCTTCAAAATCCATAATGAGTCTATTATGGGTCAACATTTAACTTAAGACATCTTTTTCAGATCAGTTGAACCAGTACAGCACGTATGTGATATCAAAATCCACTTAAAAAGGATATTCAAAATTCCTGAGCTAAAATACTTTAATACATCTTTTCTAAAGGGATTTTCAAGATTTTGGACATTTTAAAATGTGTAATAACCACCATGTTCATCTGTCTATGTATCATTTTATGTCATCATTGTCCTAACTAGATACTAGTAATACAATTTACTGCATAAGAGATTGAATAGAGAATGAAACATGAAGCTCTTAGTCGGTTTGGTAAGTTAAATACCGGTCACATGTATATCGTTACGGGTTTTTTTTTATCTATTTACAATCAATATCGGGTATAATATGAACACTTTGGAAATCCCAGGTTTCATATTTACAATCTGATGTTTATTAAATATATTATTCTAAGAACAAGACAAGACTTATTTAAAAAAAAAAGAAATTAAAGAAATTATATAATCTACCCGATCAATCTGAAAGTAAACAACCTGACAGCATTTGACAACCTCCAGGAAGTTAACAATAGATTGAAGAGTGATAAAGGATTCCCTATGAGTTAAAAATATCATAAAAATATTTTAGAATCGTCTAGTTTATGTCTGGGTCCTTAATTCAATAGTTATTCAACTTTAAATTGCAAATTTTTAAGAAGATGCATGGGGGACAGGGCGAGCAGAATGCCTGTAGTGTCAGATATTAAGAAATCATATTCAATATGTAAATTAAGTATTTAAATTAACTTTTCACTTTTGAAATTTATGAATTTATGAGAGAGGGAGAAAAAACCCTTTCTGAGAGAAAAAAAAATCTCGATAATTTTTTTCTTTTATAAAAATATTAGATATTTGTTGGATTACAACCCCTAGCAATAAAAATCCGAGGTATCATACTGCTTTGAGACGAATGCGCTAACCACTATGCTACATGGCTCAACTTGAAGTATTTCTCGGAAAGTTGCAAATGTTTTGCCATAAAAGTGTACTTTTAAGGTATAGTGGGTCATCGCTCCATGTTTTTATAAACCAAAAAATGTATATTTCATTGCAAGCTTTTAGGATTATCTTTGAAAAAATGGAGAGAAGACCCACTCATATTTAAAGAAAATTGTTAAAATATGAGAAAATGATCGTTTTTGTTCTTTTTAGTGTGTGTATACTTTTTCATAGGCAAATATTTTCAGTCTTTGTGGGATTTTGTAAATTGTAGAAATTTGGATTTAGTATACTTAAGTATTAGGTGAAATATCAAATAAAATTTCTATAAAATTGAGATTAAATTTGTCACTTCTTATCTTTCGCACTATAGGCACTTCGTCCGCCTTATCCCCCATCCTCTTTTTTTAAATGAATTTGATTATCATATCATTTTGTTTTTAAAATTACAATGCATTAATTTGTTAAGTCAAATGACTTATTAGTTAAAAGTTAAAACAAATTATTGATCTTAGAGTTGTTATAGTGTACGGAAGCTTTTAATGCCGGCAAAGCTGATTTTTTTAAAATTGAAAATACAAATTATGAATTAACACTTTGTTTAGTCAAATGAGTTACATGTATTTTTTTTCTTTCAAATTGCTAATTTGAGGTTTTTGTAACAGTTGCGTTTTTTCTTTTTTTTTTTTTTTGGTTTTGTGTTTAATACAACCCTCAAGATCATCAGCAGATAAAGAAGGAGGGGATAAGATATTTAAAATATCCCCTTTCTCTGAGTTGTGTAAATATTAAAAATTTATCATAGTGATTTTTTCTTTTTTCTTTCTTTTTTTGTCAAAATAATTATTTGTAACTTTAAACTGACAATTTGTATATATAATAGCAATTTGAGAAAAGACACTGATGGTAGCCTCTAATGCTCCCGTAAGTAATGCTACAATGCGTTGAATGCATGTATAATTAATTTCTTGTGGATAATCATAAAGTTATTATTTGTTATTCAGAATTATTACTGGAATATATCTACTGAACCACCTGTAACTTAAAATTATTCCTTCAATAGATGTTGTGATTCTTCGTTATGTGCATTTTCACTTTGCACCCATGCAATGACAGCCATTTTAAACTGCTATTGATTTTTTGCCATACTCAAGGTTGGCTAACTTTCGTTTTTGAAAAATAAAAATTGCTGTTGTTTGAAGTTTGAACTGAAGTAATGACTTTCCCAATGTGCACCATGTGCATGTATACACACGATATTAGAATGCAGTACACATATTTAACCCTCATGTAGGATGTGTGTTATTTCCGAAAAGTTACATCCTATCACCAATTGTTTGCTACATTATGTTAAGATAACGTTACGATAACAATGTTTGTAAAATGTGTATTAAAAACCTTTGTTGAACATGGGTTATAATCACAGTGTCAAAGTGCAAATATGCATTTTCCTAATTTGCATTTTATGAAAAAAAAAAAAATCTAAAGAACATGCCTCATAAGTGCATTAGACGAAAACAGTCACACAGAACAATAATTTAGCATAAAATCTGCATTTTATTCAATAACAAACCAAAGATGCTTTGCAGTTTTTTTTTTATTACGATGCGTTAAATCATTTAGCCCTTGACCCCTAAAACCTTTAAGAGAAACAGTAAACTACTCACGGCTCCAGCTGGTCCGCCTCGTCCTCGGTTTACGTTTGCCCGGCATTTTTGATCCAGTACGGATTCTCTTCTCTCTTCTGGACCGTTCTGTTTTATAAGTACATTTTGTTATCAGTCTACTTTCTGTTTTAACGTTTACGCGGAAGTATATATGGTACAAAGATATGAAACAGTGATGCATGCAATGACGTAATATTTGTATAGCAGAGTAAGGTCTAATTATTGATTAATACTGTGGTCGATATAGAGGCTTCTTGGCGAAGTCTCAACGTTTTTAGAAAAAGATTTATTTTTAAACACGGGGTAAATCCCTAACTATGTTTAGATTTACATGTGTAGAGGTCATGTAAGGTTTTGTAAACAACACAACGCACGGTGTTCTTCATCCAAATGCTATATTATTTCTTGCTTAATTTGTCAAATAATAAGATTGTCTTAAAGTTATATAAATGTAAATTGGGAGAAATATTTTCAATTGGGGTTATTTTACATTTCTTTACTATTTCTATTTCATGTAAAAGCAAAGTTATTTGCAATCTTTCTAGTATTAATAAATTCTTTTGGATTAAAAGGGAGTGGATTTATGTTCAAAATGGGTATAATAAATCACAATTTTTGTAAAATGAACATTAAAAAAAATAGATTTTATTTTTGCGAAAGTACAAACATGTTTTGGAATTATACATTTTTGAACTGGTGGAATAGTTTGAATTTATATTTTATCCCAGATTTCTATATATTGTTTACATGAAATACTGTATTCAGGTGTTAACACCATTAAAAATGCACAAGAAACTAAAGGATGTGACGAATTTAAATTATAGTCTCTACAAAAATGTTTCGAAATTCAGAAAAATATACAGGTATATATAATTTTTTTTTTTTAAATATACATTGTGGAAATAGAAAATTAGATGATTGGTGTGTTTTATTAGAAAATTTTGAAAACTAATTTTTAAGCAAAACTGCACATATTAGCCCTAAAAGAAAGATTTAAAAAAAGATAAATACAATAAAAATGCAATTCAACATTGATCAAGGTAGAAGTAGTGTCATATATGATTTTCTTTGGTAAGGTTACATATATAACTGGATACAAAATTTCTATACAATATGAATAATATATTGCATGCTTTTATCATAATTTGTAAAAATGAAAGAGACATTAAAATAGAAATTTGCTTTGTCCCACTTTTTCTTAAATATGGATGATAGCTATTTACCTGATTTAAAGTGTGCTATTTTATCATCTTGCGCTTGCTTTTGCTGTAAATAGAAAAAAATATGCTCCATTGAAATATATAGAGATAACGAACAGTATTCAAACTCAAAAGTCCATTAACAATACAAAATTGGAAAAGAGCAAACACGGACCCCCCAAGACATCAGAGGTCGGATCAGGTGCCATGGAGAAGTGAGCATGCCCTGCGGACCGGACATACCTGCCTTGTGCTCTTTGTCATGATCGGGAAATCACGGAAAATGTGTTGACAATTCAGTGTCGAGAATCAAAATAACTTGATTGCTATAAGGGTGTATTTATAATATTGAAATAAAAACTTGATTTAAACCATTAAATCTTTATATTTCAACACAAGATAGCAAAATTGTAAATCAAAATGAATACGTATTACAAGTTTTTTTATGGAACTCTTCAATTTTTATTTTGGATCAATGGAAACAAGAAGTCCTTGACATGTGCTACAAAAATATATCTTAAAATATCACACCTATTGTGATGGAGCGCTCAAGCACGATATTTCTTACCATCTTGTCTGTGTTCTCTCAAATGAAATAAAGTTCTGATGCATTGCATCCATAGATGAAGAGATATTCGTCCTGACACCGCGTTTTGTCTATCCAAATGCTTTTTAATACTAGTTAAATGATCAACGGATATCTTTTTCTCTTGATTCACACCAAGGATTTCCCTTCTCCAACATCAAATATTTTCAACTTTGATAACATTGAACAAAAATTATATAATGGGCATCAAAAATGGGTACTATTCTTGGCGACAAGGACTAACAACTACCAATGTACTGTTTGCCAAAATTAAACACATTATCACTGATGATGTCTGCTTGACTTTAAGGGTTTTCGTATAATTTTCGTAAACACTCGTATATAAAATGTGCGCATAAAATACTACTGTCGGGATGAAGAGAAAATGCCATTCGGTCATCGTCGTCTGACAAAAACTGTAATTTTTAATGGTGTAATCAAAATTTATGCTTGAAAATTTGTGACATTACAATAACATTGTATTGATGTTTTGATTGGCCATGATACAAAAAATATTGCATATTTATTATGATGTATCCTGATTTATTTGGAGTAGGCCTATTTGGGACAAAGATGCAGAGACTCTTGCACCATTTTGAACAGGTCTAAGGGTGGTGACCTCAGCGGAAATTACATTATAAAGGCAAAAATTCTATTCGTCAGTATTCGGATATGTGATTTCTGTTCATGTAAGCAATGCGTTCGGTACTACTTATGCACTTGAGATAGGTCGTAAGAAAACAATATTTTAAAACATATGCGGTAATAGCGAATATAAGCTATAAGTGATGGGAAATTTTGTTTCAGGCTATATATATTTTTTTACCTGTGTTGATCTTATCATCGTCAGCAGTCGTAAAATATGACAAAAACAATCCAAATAATATTTTCTAAAGATGTACGGTGCAGCAGTGGACACCCTTCCGAGATCTCCATATTGTCACGATATACATGTATAATTATATTTAGCTCTCGGGTACGTCTGTATTTCCATAGACGTATACAAGACTCATACTTCTTGTTCTGTAACAATTTTTTAACCCATGGTATATTCATACTTACGTTATGGGCTAAAAATTAGGCCTAGTTGGCCTAAAAAATCAAGTCCCTGTGTCATACTTCTGGGCCGAATAAAAGCTAGCGAGCATTTATGACGTCATATTATATTGCGTCATGTTGGGCTTACCTGCTGGTGTGTGCATATAATTATTAGAGCAATATTTTGAAGTCTGGACAAAAGCCGATATTTAAGAGAGGTAAATGACAAAGGCGTTTACGTATAACATAGCATAGACAAAAAGTTTAGGTCTATGCGTATAATATTGATAATTTGATAGGCCCCTATAGGCCTAGTGAACACTCTCCTGAAATGATTAAAAAAAATTCCAGCCAATCCAGGTATACGTGTCCCAATTTACAAATAGGCTTCCACATATCTCTATTACAAATGACAAAATGAACAAAACAACAATTTTCCTTGAATCCTGAACATATGTACAACAATGAGACAAAGAGTCTGAATGGTGAAACCGGACTCACGCAGTGACGTCTAACGTTATTTGATTATTGCGTCCATGGAGGACATCACAATTTACCTGTTTGATGATTGACTGATTAGAATCCTTAATCCATTCATTATCACTGTCACACTCTTCTTCTTCAGAATCGTCTGACCCAAAAAATAAAACTTTTAAAGTTTTCAAAACACCGGCCATGATGTAACAAATTACGGATTGTATGGAAATCCAGTGATGTCATAACAGTTTGAAAAAAAATAATAATCTTGAAATTTTCGTATCCTATGATATACCGATAGGCATCGTCGCAAACCAAGGCTAAAATGTACATTTATATACATGCTCCTCTGATCCTGGTGAGATCTGTATTGTCGTGATTCCGGACCGTGTTTCTACTAGATCTACTGAGTACACATGTGTATTTTTATTCCTTATGTAATTCTAGGCGTTATATAGATTACTTCAATCAATCTGTAACGGGTTGATATTCAATGATTGGCTGAGCAGGTTAGAATAGAATAGGTTATTTATCGTCAATAATCCGAATTGAAACTTGAAATATAATGGTATATCTACAATGTATGTGCATTGAGATTTAAAATGAATTGAAAACGAAAATGAGAATATTATTCAGCAAAATATTTATAACTGACAGGTATATGTACTTTAAAATGACGTATTCAAAATTTAACACAATCACTTGCTGAGTGGTTGGTGTAATTATGAATAAAGGTCGTGTATTGTATTTATTAGTGATTAATTTATTAATCATGGTATTTATAAATTAGCGCATCGTTAATAAAAAAAAATCATAGCCTTTTTCATCATCAAATAGAATGAAACTTTAAAATAGTATACTATTTCTATTTTGATATCCTTTGAATTTTAACTATTTTGATTAAAAAATGTACTGAAAATTAGGTAGTGTTATATAGTTCTATTAAATATATCTCGAAAAATACGTCAAATTTCATTGGATCAAATTTCATTGGATACAGTCTTGAAATCATTCTTTTTTCTTCAAAAAGAAAAGATGTGTTTTCTTTAACCTAGACCCAATCTAGTTGATTTTTATCTTGTTTAATTCGTATCTAGCTGAACATGTTGTGCAATATCATGATATTCTCTAATGCTATACAACTATATATTCACTTTTAAAATGTACTTAGTAAAATGCTAAATATTGAACAATGATAATATTTTTTCAATGAAATCTGCATACAGCTTAAAATTTTAGGCACTATTAAAAACCTATTTGAAAGCTAGTTGTAAATGTCAAATTCAATTAATTTTGTCACGATTTCAAATTCATATTAAATTTTAAATGTATGACTATAGTATACTGTAATGATTTCAGCCACAGCTTAATTCATTAAACTTATATAATATCCTTAATACCGTTGAAGTTATTTATCTATAGATAGTTAAATTAAGAATTATGGAATTTTATACGAAACCTAATGTTGGTTATCTAGAAAGCAAATTGAAAGTAGAATATTGACGTCTGCTTCTATTTATAGATTCCAAAGTTTCCACGAATTGTTTACATTTGCGCATTCTGTAAGAAACAAAAATAAACGCTGGTTTTCAAAAAATTGACCCGATTTCTCTTTAAAACAGGTAGTCGAAACTTTTAACATCAAACACATATATGAACATATAGAAGAAGGAATCATTACGAATAAGCTGAATTTTATTTACACTGATTGGACATATTGTACACAGAAAAAGGGTAAACAATTAAAAGGTAAGGGATCATAAATATCAGTTTGGATCTAGATAATCTTGAAATAATGCTTTTATCATTAACAAATACAGGTTTATGCTAAACTTTAGTAATTCACTATGAGGAAGCAGATACAATCGTCAGGATTTTTTTTGGACTTTTTTTAAATACATGTTTATCGAGTTTTAAATATGTATACATTAAGAGAACATTTCCTGCTGGAAGATAAGCACAATTATATAAAAGAAACTAGAATTCAGAATAGAATTTATATCCTTATGGTCACATCATGGTATATAATATATTCGGTTTCTAATAGATAGTAAAAAGCTAATCTGCCTGTATTTGCACTTGTGTCCATTATTTAAAAAAATATGTGCTTAAACTTTTTGACTTAAATAGACAGAATGTAATTCTATCAAAGAGGAATGTTTATCCGTACCTGAAATTTTGTGTCATATACTACACATTTCCTTCTTTAAAATATGACACAAAACCTTTTATCTTTCTAAATGAATATAGAACTTTTCGGTATATCATTGGAACCAATGTGCTTTTGATTTAATTAATTAAGGTACATGTATATAAAAACAATGTATAACACACATTAACGCATTTTACTGCATATAAAATTTCATTGTACTCTTCACAATCAAAACATCATTTTTTTATTCAGGAAAGTTCTGTTTGTTTTTATTGATTTTTACTGTAGCAAAAGTAAGGAACTCCATAGGTGTATATACCAGGAAATTACAATAGTTATATAGATGTAAAATGTAAAAATTACCCTACCGCTTTTAAAAATATTGTACGAGTTAAGTAGGTGTATGTAGCAAACTGCAATAAAAGAAGAATATATGATACTATCATACATGTACATGTATTTATGTAACCAACGCCAAGTTATTTTTAATCTCACTGTTTATTAATAACCGAACTTTCTAGAAAAAGTGTAACCGATAAAACTTTAATTACTTACATGTATTTTAGTTACAGAGTCTTTGACAAATATGGAAACAGACTCGGACTGGCAGAAATTCCTTCTTGCGGTAGACACCTGCTGTAAGAATGGGGATTATGTTCGAGCCAAGCAATTCGCCACACAGTTGTATGACTCTATTGCATTATTTTACCGAGAGGAAATGGACGACGAGAAAGTTTTTTATGCTTACGACAAATGTTTAGGCGTCGCTGTGATGGTAAGTACGGATATTATATACATATATGTGATATTTATTATAATAGAACTGATATAGAAATCCAAAAATGATGGAGACTCTTTTCATATTTATTTTAGCTGAATGACAGTAGTTTGGCATTAAAGTGTCTTTACCGAGGTATGTGAATTTTACTTGCTACATATATAATAATATCTCGTTAGAATTAACGAAATCGATGCAATTGCTTATAATTTAAAATACTTTATACATGATACGCACATAAACGTACCGGTTCTTTATTTTGATACTCTAGATCTGTTTTAATTTCTAAAATTTAATGGAAATTTTTTTAAGATCACTTTATTGTATATTTTAACATTATGTCATGATTTTCCAGAGAAATGTCACTCACAAGAATACTTAGACCCTGGAATGTTCTGGGGTACAGTTTTGACAAATCCAGACTTTCATCTAGCGGTATGCCATAAAATTTTATCTTACAGAGTATATGTTGTTGTTAAAGAATGTTTGACTGGGGAAAAAGTTCTTTATGGAATTGGGTACTTAAAAAATCTTTTCTTTGAGGATGATATTATTCATCTTTTCTCTGAGCATTTCGACTCAGTCCCAATTAAATAGATTTCAAATCTAATAGTAAATTTTAAAATATGAAAACTGTATTATTTTTTATTTTCTTTTATCTAGGTGAAGTTGAAAATCATCAGAGATGTGAGGTCCATTATTGATGAATATGAAGACAAACCAGTTGTCTCGACTTGTGTCAAAGAAATACAGATAAGTTATCGTATGTTGGTTTCCACTTATTGTACAGATAACTCAAGTATGGAACTAATTCTGCGAGAAATTCTGAAATTTGATATAAGCAACGGATGGAAACTCCTGAAAAAAGTAAGTCCGATGTCATCATGTGTAAACTAATTAGCTAATTTGACTGCAATTTTTGGCAATTTCATATTAAAAAGAAGACTAAAAAGAAGATTTAAAAAACTACAACGAAACAATATTTAAAGTAAGTATTTGCAAAGAAAAGTTTTGAGTTTTGTGAAAAGATTACAAGTTACAATTGTATTTACAGCAAAATCCCAGAATGGTGTGCGGACATTGCAAAAATCGTAAGTCAAATACTGTTGTAGAAATAATTTGTCGTGATATCAATCTGAATAGAACTAGGGGCTTCACAGTTTTACCTAAAACAATTTGGAGAAAAATTCAAAATTTTTCCTAAGTCTTACGGTGACATAACTAATACTCAGCTAAGCTTAAGTTTTGAATGAAAGTAAACGATTTTTAAAACTCGAATTCATTATTTATTCAGTTTGCAAGAGTCACCCGTCAGACCCTAATTTGGCACTAGTGATGGAGCTATGGGCGCATGCTTTGGAGCAGCTTGGAATGTTAGATGTAGCCATCAACAAGGCCGAAAACGCCATAGCTATGGCAGAACCGGTCAGTTATACTATTTTGTTATTGATATGCCAGAGAGGACATTTTCATTCATCCAGAAACCAAATGAAATTACATGTAGAGTTTTCATGTATTAACGTTTGAATGTTATAGATGCATGATAAATCATCCTTTGAGAGATTACTGACCAGATTGGAAATGAAGGTTACAGAATTGAACAAAAGAGCATGCGCATCTGATATACCTGCTGTCAAAGACTCCACTAAAAGGGTAGGACAATAATAGCATTTTAAATTAAAGACTCTTAGTTTACTTAATATTGATGAAATCGAGTAAATTGTATGAAAACGAATTTCAGAGTAACAAAGATATAAAGAAGGAACAAACAAAAAGAGAAAACAAGCAAGAAAGAGGTTTGTTGAACTTTTTTCATAATGTTCAAAATGCATTCATAAACATGTATCTTAAATCATTTGAAATTAACTACATGTAGTAAGTGATGATATGAAAATTGCACTGTCTGAATAAAATTACAATGTATCATGCTTCAGTACCAAATTTTAACCAACAAACAGGCGAGTTCAAGTTATAGTTGTAATATGTAGTAGTATTTGAATTAGGGATGTCAACGAGTACCCGGTTAACCGGGTACTCGATCGAACGTCCGAGTATCGAATACTAAAATCGGTACTCGGTTACTCGGATGTATATTTTTAAATATTTCTGAGCTTATATATTTATTAATGCATTAAAACTTCGATTTTAAAACGTAAAATGTTCTTTGCACTTGTACATACAGTAATTAGGGTTTCCTAAATTACCGTTATCGCCCGTGGCAGTGTTTATACAGTAATTACCGTGACCAAACACTTGATGTGCCTACCTGGCTTTTCTCACCTGCGCCTGCCTTCCACCGTTATGTTTAGTTTGCTTTAATTATTTGTTTTCATTGAACATCGTTTAAGGTCCATTGTATTTAAATAAATTAAATAATTTTGTCAATTCTCCAAGAAGCCGTAAATTCTCGGGGAAAGAGACAGACGATATTGCACGTGCGATTGTTGATATGCGTTTGATTACATGCCAATTAATGCAAATGGTTGAAAGCAAATGCTTTAAAAATGTTATGTCCATCGTTGCTCCAAACTAAAACATACCGTATCGTAATTCTATGAAATCTCGGATCAAAAAGTGTACGAAGATCGTATAAATCCTCTCTGTTATAGGTTTACATGATCAAGTTTATACCGTACATGTAGCTCTGACAATGCAACTTATCACTTGGACGTCAAAGACATCAAAGACTTACATATACAATTACGGAACAGAACTGATTATTTTTTAAAGAAAAACACTGAACCATTTATAATTTTATTACTCGTATTTATCTGATAAATAAATTGAACTTTAAAAAAAAATTCGTCGGGTACAAAGTGGTCATAATTGTTACAACGCATTTGCAGGTAACCTCCCATCGGTTTTATTTCTACAAGAGTTTACCATGTTTTACAGTTATCAATTAACTTGTTCCTATTTATTTACACTTTACCGAACCCGGGTACTAACCTAAAAACGTCCGAGTAACCGAGTAATAAAAATTGACCGATTTGACATCCCTAATATTAATTTTGAATAGTTTGATTATCAAAAATTTATATTAATGTAATTTTTAGTCAAAAAGGAAAAGAAACAAAAAGAAACAAGCCTTGATAGATCAGAGACCACAGAATTTGATGAATCTGAGCCAAATTGTTCTAATGATTCGAATGCTCCACCAGAAATAACTCACACCCTGTCAGACAACTCCCCCAAAAGCTGGAAAGATGTCAAAGACTTTGACTTTCCTGTAACCAAGCCTAAACGAAAACGAAGGCGGAATCGTACTGGCGACTCTGGTTTGTCCTCCACTGGACATCAAACAGGAACCCCAGAGCTTGGTAGCGAGGTCAATTCTGACGGGTCATGTATTTTCTCTAACATGCATATAGTTGACTCTGAAGACAGTGAGGATGAGTACCATCCACTTCCGGAAAGTTCAATGGCTCCTGATTTTAAATTTAAGGATGAAACAGAAGATTTCAGTTCTCAGTTTTATAATCCTGAGAGCGAAGAGGATGATCTTCAGGAAGATACTTTTTTCAATGAAAGCTGTGAACGTCTGCTTCAGCCTGAGGGGATAAATCTTGATATTATGTATGAAATTGACAAGGGTATCTTGGAAAATGGGCTGAATTTGTCAGATCGTTTTATTGGAAGCTTTAAAAGAAACAAAATGAAATACGCTGAATACCCAGATCTGAAAACAAAAGAAGAAGCCTTGATGCTTTGCTCGAAGAGACGACAAAAATACAAACATTGCAGGATCACAATTGAAACCTCTCATGGAGCAGTGTGCACAGTATTGGACGAAACGGACAAAATCAAAACAATAGAAAT